GGAGGGGGCATCTTCAAATAAGTTTCCTTCCATTGTTTGTAAACTGCTAATGCATTCCGGCCAAAGTCCCCCAAAAAGTGTTGTGATGCGCATTTGATCGTATCCACATGTTAATTTGAGCAATATAAATATTATTATTATTATTATTATTATTCAATGCTTCCACCTGGCCACAAGATACCCGACTCTGTATCTGCAAAAATCTGTTAAAATATAGTCACCTGCTTTGAAGCTGATACTGAGTATCTTGGGAAGTGGTTGTTCACCACATCTGGTCACGGTGTGGATCCCAACACTCACGGGCTACGACGAAAAACAGTGAAAAAAGAGCAAGACGTACAGAAAAACTCGAAAAGGCAAGGTTTTCCTCAAAGTTTTAGTAACTGCAGTTTTCTTATACTTAAAACCGTTTACTTTCAGGTCGATTTGATACTGAAGACCCTTTTCAGTTAACTGTCTACTTCGGGGTACCTCAAAAGAGGAGTGTTTTAGTTCCACAGTCATATAACTCGCTCCATGTTCTTCGGTATGCTCAGTAAAATCAAGATGTAAATTGTCATTCACAACATGCGAGAATTCATCGGCAAAATGTTCCTTGCGTTCCACAGAATCACTTGAATCACCAGCCACGTGAGAAATATGAGAAGCACTTACCACTCCTTCAACAATTGTGTTCTCAGACCTCTGACCTGACTCTTGATACATGACGAGTTCCTAAATCCAAACTGATTTGACGCACGCGAACTTCTTCAGTGAGGAAATAGACCTCAAAACCACTTGAAAATCCGATCCGAACCTTCTTCACGGAAACAAGACCAACCAGTATCCGACAGAGCTGAATAACGTATACGCATGCGCTGGGTTTAGTCGCGAAAACACGGATTTTGAGTCGTTCGCGTAGTTGATTTCCTATTCCGTTGCTTCGAGGCGTCGTTTTCCTTGCCGCTTTTTTTTTACAGAACAGCCTCCAAACATTTGGTACACCCCCTAAAAATTTTCAAAAATTAATTTTCTCCTTTAAACCCTTGGAAATAGGAAAGTGCCCTCGACGAAAACAGAGTTCCTCGGTTTTAAAGGTCAGCCCTTATTATTTTCCGCTAATTTCGCTAAATTTTAGACCTAGGACACTTGAGCCCGCGTTGTTGGCTGCATACCAGCTGACGTAGCATTTCATTATTCAGCTCTGTCCCAGTATCCAACAAGATTAAAATTCTTCACCTCGACCATCCTCGAGTTCTCGACGAGTAAGATCAACACTTTAATCTTCAGATAACAACTTAAGTTCTCCTTTACAAATACAGATGGCCAGAGGGTTACAATGATGGAAAACTACGCATCACACTCGTGATGAAACAAAAACATGGCCGCCCTCGTGGTTGAGCGGTCACCTGGCAAACTGGTGACAACCGCTGACCTTACTAATCGCTTATTACAGTACCGCTGTAGTACCATAAGGAAATATAGCCCAACAGCAAGAGTTGCAAATAGAAAAGAGGTTGTTTTGCAAAAAACTGATTGAAATTAGGAAAAACTGTGCGAAAATTGTGAAAACAAAAAACAAATGAAGCGTGCACGTTTGATTGGAATATTTTGGAATAGACGCACATCTCTAGCTACAATAACAACAGATTAAAATAGAGCGAGAAATGCTATTAAACAAAAGAACTACGGAAAAGCAAATGCAGGAGCGAGCGAGAAACAAAGTAACGACTGAGTGAATTTGAG